TTCAAGACAAATTCGGTAAGTATCGTAACATAACATTTGTTACTTTTTGTTTCATCTGGGTCAAGAAAAGATTAACGAAATATTCGAACTGTAATATTACAAAGAGTATCGTATGCTATGCCATTGTACGCGTTCCAATGTTGAGCTCTTGCCTACTGTTTGTAAACATTTCGTTCTGTACATTGGAACACATCTAATGATATCTACTGATCACGATTCGTGGTTCACCCTGTATATCTGTTTCTCGACGAGAAACACAATATAATTCGCGTATAAGGAAGCCAAAGACTGGCCACAATAACGAGACACGCGTACCCAACATCCCCGTGTGGACCAGCGATCTAATCCCATTACGTTCGCAGTCAAACCGGCGAATCGATCGGAATCGCTGGAAGGACCGCGACCCGGAAACAGCAAGAGCAGCGTGGTTGTTCTGTATCACGGGAAATCGGCCTCCCCCGAGCCACCCCTCAGACCCTCCCAATCGGAACGGACGGTCGCGCCTGGTACTAGCCAATCGCTGACAGATATCGCGCAATCCTTACTCGAGGACAGGTAAAACATGTTTGATAATTTAAAATCCTTGTCTCTCTCCTTTCTCCATGTAACTGTTGATCTTTATTTAAAATCGTATTTGATTAGAACGACTTATGGTACAAAAAATCTTGTATCCCAGATAATAGGGAGACTTATAAATAAATAGTAATGGGGATACCCTCCTATCACTCTTTCCTGGTAAATATTTCTTAATTCACACATTTTTATACGTAATTTAATGAAATAGCTGCTATAGCCTTTCGTGAACAAATTTGTGAGTCAAGTTTTCGGATAATAGAACAATCACTTTTTCTGATAATGAACTTCATTTATTTGAATAGAGATGAAGAAAATTGACGGTTTGTTTAAATATTTCTGAAATACCTATTTTTTCAGGTAGTAAATTACAGAAGTTTTTCAACATATGTGACTGCATAGATTTCGATAGAACAGATGAAAGTATACGTTGCATTGTCGGATAACAGAACGTTCGAATATTAGGGTATTCGGATACGGAAGGTTCTACTGTAGTTTGATGGACCTATTTAACACATTAGGGACCATTAACGAGAAACTTCGTTTTTGTAGAATCGCTTTGACAACCAGAAACATGAAATCTTGTTTTCACGCATATGCATTATTTACTGATTATTTCATAGGTAACTGTAGTTTCGTTTGCTTTTCTATAATATTGGCTTTGTTGCAGAAGATATTTAGGGTGATTTTCTGTCAATAACGTCATTGGTCACACAGCTAATTTTAGTGAAACTTTATATCGGTAGCTAATGTGTTAATTCGACAATCTTACGTAGGTGTAATTGGAATTGATTAGAAATAATATGAGGTAATTTGTTTATCGACAATCGTGAATTGGGTGTAAATTCCGCTGATATTAGTACTATGAGCAGATTGTGAATATTCATGGAAATTTACACCTTTAGAGAATAGTTTAAAAAAGTAGGTATTATACAGAAATTTCCTATTTCCGTTAAAGATTTTACTATGTCGAGATGGATACCTTATTAAACCTTATTGAAGCTTTCCTTTTAACGTATCCATCTAACGGCAAAAAACTAGACTATAGGATACGATGCTAGAGTGATTCTTCAGGCTCATAATATGAGTCATAAATGGCAAGTTAATGATTCCGAATGGAATCCTACCATCGGAAAGAGTTAATGTGTTTCTTACACTACATAAAATTCACAGCGCAGTTATGAGACTGTGCAATATCCTGTAGGTACAAGACAGTGAATAAAAACTGTATTTCTACACTCGGGTCTTTTCTTACAAATACATTGAAAAATATTGCCAACAGACAATAGTGAACAAATACATTATTTAAAAGCTACTACAGATAGAATAAACCAAAACAATAGAATTCTTCGTATCATAATTTAGGAATGCATCAAATTATCTTTAAAACCCGAGTATCTTCAGATATTTTCTTTTACCCACTGTAAATGAGAAAACAGAAAATTATAACCCGATTATCGGATTAGTAAAGAAGATATTGCATTTATAACAATGTAATGTCAACCAAGTTATCCATTACCATCCCGAATTTGCTGCCTTCTATTCGCCTGGACTCCAGAGACGTTTGCCGTTCCCCTAACTCTTTTGATTGGTAGAGCCAGTTTCCCCGTGCTTCCAGTTTTCTTCGTATAAAATCAATATTTCCCGGTTCGAAAGTTTCTGTCCGACAGACGCGAAGCGTGAAATACGCGCCCGAAACCCCTCCCGCAGCCCCCTTTCCTCCTAGGAATCCATATTCGCAAAACCAATTAAATTTTCCGAAGTTTCCGAGACATTCTCGCGAAGTTATCATCGATCTAGATAGGACGAAAGTTTCGTGGCGGGATCGCGTCAGAGGCCGCGTGATCGAATTCCCAAAGAAATCTCGGAATTCTGTTGCTCGCAGGAAGAATCCGGCGGAAAGTCCAACGGAGAGGATCCACGTATATCCGATTGACCCGAGGAAAGCTACTTTGAGACGTCGTCGACGTTTATCGAAGCGACGAAGACCGTTCAGCGTACACGTTTATCAGCAGCGGCCGGAGATCGGCTCTAAGGATCGTCGTGTCGCGAGCAAAGAGTCGCGGCCAGCGGAGCGTAGAACCGATTCGACCAGATATTCGACGAAGTACGCGAAAAATTTGATTAGGTCGAGCGAAGGATCGACTTCTCGTCAGGAGGACGATTCGGATGGTCCTGATCGAGTATCCAGAGGATCGGATAAGCGACGGTGGATCGATAGAGCCTTCAGGGAACGATGTCGTCCCTCGAATAACACCGTTTCGAAACTAATGGCTCGTTTTAGGTAACCCATTGTTGCACTATAATAGTTTATACTTGAGGGATTTGGGACGGAAACGACCACGTTCAATGAATTTTATTAAAAAAGCAGAAGTTAATTTTGTTTTTGTTTTTCTAATCATTTCTTATCTCTTCAGGTTAAATAGTTTTTTTTTCGATTAAAGAGCTTCTCAGTGAGATTATTATCTAATACTTAATGATCTTTCCAAATATAACATAAGAATTTTGAAATTTCTAATTTATGTGTCACAAAACCAAAGAAAAATTTAAATCTTGTTTTCGAATGTTCGATTGTAGGCTAAGGTCCAGTTTGGTCTTAGTTTTATTTCTTGTGAGACGCTGCATTATTTGCATATGCTGATACATTATACATTCGAATACACAATGCCGGAAGTGTATATGTGTCTGCTACATTATGAAATATAGGTATGTTGCCATATGTTGCCATTTGTATTGTACATTGAAGAATTAAGTCATCAGATTTTAAACGCAATGACCTTGGTCGGTTTTGTCAGACAACAAATTCAGAAATATATAACAAATAAAACAGATTAAATGTATCATTTGTTTTCCGTTAATAATTATTAGCAAATGAACAGTTGTCTGTTTCTTAATAATTATCTTCAAGCTAATCTAGAAATGACTGATTATTAATAATAAAGACTAATTGTAGATGGTAAAACTTAATCGTCGCAAAAATATTATTTGTTTACCGATTGATCACAGCGTCGAGTCATAAAGCTTGACGATTTCCAATTAGAATGTCTGATAGTTGTTAATTATAATGCTTGATAGTCATCAGACCTGGCGTTTGATAATTCCCGATAGTAGTATGAATTAGTTATGGCCTGGGACGTTTAATGAACTCTATTTAGAGCTCGACGGCGCTCGATTGTATCGCTTGCTCGTTGTTAGTTCCACCGAATAGATATTTAAACCGGATAGTTAAAATATTACTGAGTAGAAAGTGTGAAATGAAATTGACCACAAGTAAATACTGCAATTGATGTACGAACGTTTACAAAAGTATGGACTATAAATAAATATATAATACTTTTAATGCTTAGGAATACAGTACGTATTATTTTACAATCATTTCGTTATTATAAAAATAGCGACAAACCGCAATTCTAGAATTAGAATACTTACTACACACTTTGTTGTGCATAAAAGTTGCATCACCACGAAAAATCAAGTTCAATTGAAATATTGTTTGTCATACATGTAATACACAAAAAGCTATACATAGAACTTGTTAAAATGAGAGCCTTTTCTCTCCACTCGTGTAAACGATATTTAATATCAAGAGTGCTTTTCACAGTCCCGAATAACTGCGTATTCCTTTCAACCTGCATTCTTTTATATTTACTAGGTGTTTCAATTTCTATCTACAACAGTATATTTATCGTTTTTATATAAGTATACGATATTTTTATCAACAATTGAAATAATGATAAAGCACTCAGATACAATATTATTTTAATTACAATATAGTAGATCTCCCTATCACATGGGGGATATGTTCCGTATACAATGTTTATAGAAAGGTTGTCATAAATAATTTATTACCAAAAAATGTAAAATTAATATTAAAGCTATTTCGTGTGACATTTTCTATTAAAATATGAAAGTGTCAACTTATCTACCGTCTTATACAATCATCGACACAATTTCTCAATCCTGTTATACGAAATCGTATTGTTCCGGGGTCTACAGTACTCAGAAAAGAAAATAATTGTTTAGCTCCCTAAATGTCGAACACATGTTTACAAACATTATAATGAAACATAACGTAGGTACTCCGGAACACTTGCCGAGAGACCGAAATAATTCAGAGAACTTTTAGGTTCGATAACATCCTAACGAATAAGTTTAGGGCATAAGTATGTAGTACTATTATATAGAGCACAAGAAACTGCATCGCTTGGTGCACTCAAAAACATAGGTTTCTATTTAAAAAAAAAAGTGCAGTTGCATTTTTCTGATGCACCGATGCACAAAAGTCCTATGCACCGTCTAATACCATTTAACTTTTACTTATAACATCTTCTTCTATTCTCAACCGTTTAGGATGTACAGCCTGTTCCAATTGCGTGGGACACCCTGTATATTTTATAATAGTTTACTCATTGGTACACCTAAAATAGATGCCGTTTTAAAGATTTTAGAAGCCTCACTTTGTAGTCTAGGTAAAGGAGACGACAAGCAACGCAGGAACCAAACGATCTGCCCGAACTTGGCGTACCTGATGCATCAGATGCACGCGTGCCCACGCGAACGAGGTGACGACCGTGCGTATATCAGTGTGAACGACGGCGACGACTCGAGGCGAGTGTTTCCGTTTCAGGCGACGCCGAGCGGCAACCTGAAGATCGGTCCGAATCAGGTAAACGAATTGGTTCGATCCTCGACACAGCCGGGGTTCACCGAATCCTGGGGAATGTTGGCCTCAAGGCAGACGCGTAGTCATTCTAGGTGGTATTCGAATCGAAGAAAGTCAGCGTGCTGGTCGCCGATCCGCATCACACGAAGGTGAACGTCAAGGCCGAGCTGAACAGACCCGGAAACGAGGCTGCCGGACGCATTTCCGAGTCCTCGACGCGGCCTAGGCTCATCGATCTCCAAGGAGGTGTCTCGTCGTCGATGATCAATCAATCGCAGGTGACTCTACCGCTGCGATTAGCGCTCCGGTCTTACAAGACCATACACCTATTACAATACCTCTTGATCGAACGTTAATGCATTGTTCCTTGGGCAGAATGTTCGAAATTAACCCATTAGAACCGACCGGTATGAAAATGTATTTACCAGCTTATAAATAAGTTTCTTTTATTATACCAGGTGGCAGTAGTTGCCCAATAGTCGTTTGAAAATAGGTTGAAAAGAACGAAGTTGGCATTATACATACAGTAAATCTTTGTTGAGTGTTCGAAGGCTCCTTGGCACTGACAAGGAGAGGTACCCAGGTGTAACTCTATTTTTAATGAGGTTTAGTACGGTGATAGTTCTTGGATTTCTGGAGCCAATCATATTTGTTTCAGTCGCATATGGCCATTAGTTTATGGAATATTTAGTGTTCAGTGTCCGAGAGCTTTCGAACACTTATCGAGGATTCACTGTAACAGGGTTCCTAAAAATCCCTGTGTCATACGAAACTAGGAAGTACTATATATATGCATAACAAAAACTAGGCTAGGTTCCCAGACCTAACAAAATTACAATATTCTACACAATTCTTCAACCGTGTTAAAGCGAAACTTCGTTATTCAAGAGTTTACCCAATCCGTGTTAAATGGCGTAGCAGACCGAGATACAATCGCTGGAAACACTGTATCCGGATAGACTATTTGTCGCCCGAGTTGTTAATTGTTCTAACTCCATTTATCAAAAAATACAAATGCACCATAATATGAATAAAATTCAACCTAGAAAACGACAAATGTTCTTTTGAGTTCTAACTCTGGAACTTTAAAAGTTTCTTTCCTTAATGGTGGTATCTCCAAATATTGACAACAATTAAAAATTTATGTTGATAATAAGTTGAAATTTTGTTTAATATTGTAATAAATAGTTATTCAGTAAATAATTGTATAGTGTGATTATTTCACAACATTCCTGTTTCTATAATATTAAACTTCGTAAACTTTAAACTCAGTTTTTTTCAGTTTAGAAACTAATAGAGATAGAGCAATTAAGAACTAGAGCGACGTATTGTCGAGCTGTATCCCAGCAACTAGGCAACATCGAAATAATTAAACTGATCTTGAAACGGCTCAAGAATAATCTGTAACAGTCAGTTAACTGTCGATTATACAATTTTTCCAGCGATTGCATTCCACTCCGTACGCTACTTTAAAGCGAAACCACGATCACCTGTAATAACTTCCAGATGCAGAAAAATCTGTCTACAATCGAGGACACGCAGAAGCACACGATGCATTCGTTCAAAACGAAGCTCGCCCAAGTGGAGATGGAGCAGAAGCAGCAGTCGGCACCGTCCACGTCGTACGACGTCCAGTTGCTGCAAGAGGTGCCACTTTCCGTGTAAGCGTTCTTCGTCGATTGCATTCTGTTCCGGATATAAAAAAACGAAAACGTCGGAAACCGGGTCGAGGTAGTTTTATAGGGATGAAACGTATGCTCCTAGCGTTGGTTGTCGTGAATCTTCATGACACTGTATCTAGCTTGTATCATCCGTTCGTCGATAAAAAAAAAAAAGAAAAACAGCGAAGTAGATCAGCAACGGTTTCCTCCTGGCGTTTCACACCAATAACGGTTTGATCGGCGTAATTTCATTCAGACTCGGATTTACGGGCGAGCAGCCGATCGATTGGGATAACATAATTCTCCCGGAGAAGACCGACCTCTATCAGGAGTTGGCCAGGCGTATCACAAATTACAAGTAAGCTTATATAGTTGTGTCCGCTTCGATGAGGCGAGGGTAAGGAGGTGGGGGACGAACGGTACAGGATCGCCGGGCTAAATTTCACGATCGATCTTTCGAGGAACGCCGATTGTATTGTGCGAATCGATCAGGACGAGTTCCATTGCCACCTGCTCGTGCTGCAGAGTTACAGCGGCTTCTTCGACGAGAAGAATTGCAAGGAGATCGACTTGACCGGGGTGAGTTATCGATCATTGGAGCTTGGATGGCAAGGGCGAGAAGTAGAACGTCAGAAATAATCAGTTTTCCAACAAACAGAAATTGAACGCATTAAAAACTAGTGATACCATGAAAGACACTTCATATAAATTCTTGTATGCTTTGACTTTGGTTTAACTTCCTTTTTGGTGCATGAATGAACCAGAGGATTGTAAATCTGAAAAATCTCTGAGAGAGAAGATTATTCCAAGAAGGTTGTAAAAATGATGAAACGACAGATCATTCCTTCAGTGAAGAATATTTAGCATATTAAAAGTAAATTCTGTAAGAAATTATGAGGTACTCTACGTGTTCGCTGTGTTAGATCCACCTTTGATTCATTAATTATATTATCAAAGAATTATGAGATTATGAAAAGAGCCGAGTACGATCTAAAATCTTAATTTTCTAAAAAAAAAAATAATGATTACAGGAAGCTTACAAGCTTCCAAAAGAAATTAATCTTCTGGTGGTCTTCTAAAAACCAACCCCTTTCTCCTCGATTATCCGTAACCGCATCGAACATCCATCATGATAGCAAAAATTAGGTAATTGCTTCGATCATTTGCCATTCCCCGTGTTCCAGTTGGTCGCAAACCGGGTCGTATCACGACAGAACGAACGTTCTTGATATTTCATCGGACGTATCGTTTATTCGGAAAGCAAGATGTTGCATTAACGAATTTCCTTTCAGAAGCACTCGTCCTCCATCGATCTTCATCCCTTAACGAACTACGTTAAACGAATCGTAACCACGAGTTTCCTTCCCCCGATAACTTTAATCGTCCTGTTCTGCGCGCAGACTTCCGTCGAACAATTTATTATACGAAGAAAGTGGGGGATAGGGGATGATTCCTGGTTCGCATTTTCCCCAAGAAAAGCGACACACAATGTTTCGAAACAGCCATCTGACCTGAACTACTCGTTATTTTGATAATTTTCTATGACCTAATTCTTGGTTTCTTTGATTTCCTAAATCCCTAAGAATGTTATTTACATATGAAAATTGTTTAAATAAGGTAATATGTACACAAGAATCAGTAATCCCCACCGTGTTCAAGAATACCATTTAGCGGTTGATGTTTCTTCTTCCTGTAAACTGTAATGTTAACAGAGAATTAATTTACGTTCCATGGATATTGTATAGGAATTGTAAGGACTGTCTCAAGTTCAGTATTACTAGGTTTTTATACTTTTCAGACCTCTTCTTGCTCTTCTTTTCTTTATGTTCCTTCTTTACCTCGTTTTGCTTCTTCTTCAATTCTTACTCTCGTAACTCAGTCAGAGATACTACAAAAAGGAATACAGTTTTTGCTCTTCTTTTCTTCGTGTTTCTTCTTTCCCTCCTTTTACTTCTTCTTCAATTCTTTCTCTCCTAACTCAGTTAGAGTTTTCGCGACAACACAACTGTTTTAACACTTTCTCCGCCACATCACCCCAATGTGAGGGACAAGTACATTGTAAAGAAACTAGATTATTTGAACACCGTTAAAAAATTGTTGTGTAAAATTAATATTAGAGTATAAATTCAAACAAAATCACGAGCCTCTATTCATCGGTAAAAATATTAACACATCGACTGCCACAGTGAAAAAGGTTGTACGTAGCCAGACACACTTTGTTTTCTTTTTACAGTCATAAATCCAATTTTTTCCGTCCAGGGAGAGGGGGCGAGTGCACTGGGTGGCTACGTCCATGCCTCTATTAACTAAAAACATATGTTTTCGACGATTATAACTCAACCCTCAGAAGACGAATGGTGTGAAACTGACTCTATAGACGAATGCATGGTCAGTTTGACCCGTAGCGGAATTTCCATTACACCTGGGTTTCAAGAAGGAATTGTTCCATGAAATTTGATGTATATTTTTAAATCTATTTGATATATTGACCTACAAGTAATTACAAAGAATACCCCAACGACTACAGATGAGTCAAAATGACCTTACATTCATTCTACGAGGATTAAAGAATGAAATAAACCGTGTCTGACGACATACGATCTTTTTTCACTGTGACAGTCAACTGCTCCCGTCCATTTGAGAGTTTTTCGAGTGAGTCGCTCTTGAGAGTACTGTCACAGCATACAACAAACACACAGACAGTTGACGTACAGTTGAACGATCCACTCGCGAGAAAGAGAAAAAAGAAACAGAGAGAGCGCAACTCCCTCGAAAAACTCTCAAATGGACGGGAGCCTTTAAAACACTATGCGTCGCGTCTGATGGTAGCAAGTTCTATTACGAGTTTATCGGTGCACGAAACTACAGTCCGCCAAATAAAGTCTCTTTTGTTCGCGCGATCAGTTTTCCTTTCGCCACCTTAGGACACGTATCCATCGTCGACCGTGTTCGATCAACCAGCGTCGACGTTTATCTTCGGCTCTCCCGCTCGCTCGCCCGCTTATTTCCACGCGTTCTTCCGCTCGATTCCTCTTTCTTCCCGTCGAGCCATTTGTCTGATAGAGTGGGCGGCGATCTGATCTCAGATTCTGCTGCGGACCCTGCGTTTGATCTTGGATCGAATTCTTTGACCCTTTGTGTCACTGCCGGGATTCCGGGGGTCGATAACATTCTGCGATACTCGTGTCGCGGGGAATTTTTCGAATGTGATACACGTGTAAGAAGTGTTCAATTTGGGCAGAGTAGCGTTGGAAAAACCCGTAGGTGAAGGAGAAAGACACTATAGAAACTTTAACCCTTTGTTATACGACTTCTTTTACGACTTCACTCTCAAGAATTACCTTATCGTTAATATTTTCCTAGACACAAAGGAATTTTATTCTTGTGGCAAATGTTACATTTATTCTGAACCTTATATGTTAATACCAGCGAAACAGTATTTCACGCCCAAAGAAAACGAAGAATATACAGTGATTATTTTTTTTTTTTAACACCCTGTATGTATTAATTGTAAGTACATACATCGTATTTGGTGGGGAGGTGATGACTTTAACCCTGAGTCCTTATCCACTGCGCCTGTAAGTCGCCTTTACTGACTCATTTAAGTTTGGACCCCAGTAGCCTGATTGCGTTTATCCGTAAGGCCTTAGAGAATCGGGAGATTAGTCATCCAACCGTAGTCTGAATGTCTTTGCAATGAATTCATTAGAACGTTTCGTAAAGGAAACTTCATTTTAAGTTGAGCAGTATGCACGTTTCTCCCCCAAGTGTCTTCGTTTAGAGAGAGGAACGGATAATTAGATAGTAATTTATCAAATATACAGGGTGGTCCACGCAACTGTTGTAACCCAAAGCTGTTTTCTCAGTGCAATTAGAAAAAAAATGTTAAGAGGAACAAAATAATGTATATTCCCAAACAACTGTCTCTGGAATACAATGATTAGCCTTGAAGATGCTTAGAGTAATCTATAATAACAAGAATAGTGTTATTATAGATACTTAGTGTACTTTAGAAAATATGTCATTTTATTGTGCTACACTCAATTGCACCTGTTACAAATGCATAACTTGATAGAGTAAGTACATAACTCAATACAATCCTTAACAGAAAAATTTAATATTGGCAATTCATTGATCCACAAACATGTAAAATTTTATAGGTATTCGTGTTCTTAGTTGAAACATTCTAAATACCATCGCAAAAAGCACTTCAATTTTAGTCTTTCGAACATGTACAAAATACTTTAATAATTATTTCTTAGCTCCTTAACGCGATAATGAATACATTTGATCTGGACATTATAATTCGAGGAAAAAAGAGAATTCAATGTATCACTGGTATCGAACCATCGAAATCACCGAGTAGACAGCAGCAAGGGGCTGCAAGCGACCCCAATCTTCTGTGTCAGCATCCTGTTCTTCTGGTTTTCCCTGTTCCCTATCCTCCGCCAGTGACTCGATGGGCTCGTAGCCAAGCGACCTTGAACTCCTTTCTGTCTTCCCCGCCCGTAGCTATATTTGACTTTCTTTTTACTTAAGGGTGAATAGCGACTCTCGAATAACGGCGTCGCTCGTCGCCCTTTAAAAATTGCTGCACGGATCTTCGGCCATTTGGTCGGTCCACACTTGTCCCCACGTTCAATGGCGCTCTACTGCTCGCCTCGTGTCAAGGAAACGGCTAATTAAAAAGCACCAACGAGCATTTTCTACTGCGTGTAAACCTACGTTATATTGATATTTTTTACTTACGCGACGCATTAACTTTTTCTGCAATTAACTGGAGTATATGAATTAGAGCGACGTGTCCTCGAAGGCGTTCTCGATTATCTACGACTGGATGATCAGCTCGCAGAATGAAAGCTGCCGTCTTTTGCAGCGGGATAATATCTTGGAAGTCTTCACTGCCGCCCAGTATCTCGGTATTAAAGGTATGCAATAAAGAAAATCGACAGTAAAATGGTTAATTTTACATTTTGAATTTTCTTGTACTTCGGAATTAACTCTAGTTTGACTACAGTAATTATATAGTTTGACTCTAGTTTGATTTATTTGAACGTCTTTTTACTATTCTTCCGTAAAGAATCATTATATCATTATTGGACTGTGTATCTTCATGCAAATATCAAGCTTCACAAATTTATTTATAGAAACTAGGAATAAACAAAAATTACTGATCTACGTCGAAGGTTTTATCAAGTCCCACATAAAATGAACAGCGTATACTGAAATTTATTGAGCTTATAAATATACTGAATTTTAGACATTTGGAGTACGCTATAGTGCAGTATTCTTTTAAACGCCTCTGTTATAAAACTGAACCTATTTAGGTTAAAACTTATTCAGTATTTTATCTCCAATACAATTATTACCATAAACTACATAAAACAATTTCATAATAATCCTACCCTGCACACTTTTATAGAAATTCTTAAGCATTAAATCATATGACATTATATCATTAATGTTAACCACCACGTCATTTAATTTCTTTAATGCTTTAGCGCTATTACAGGTAAGTGAATATTTCTCCATTTCTCAACCAATTTCGGTAATCATTAAAGGATCGATACGGAACGAAGATGTCCGACACTGTATAAGTTTCGTTCCTCCTTTGTCTTTATTTATGCGAAGGGTTTACGAGCAATGATCCTGTTTACATTGTGCCTCCGCTACCATTTCCCATTCCCATCAATCTTCCGAAACGGCACCGTCTTGCATAATATATAGCGCGCCGTTCCTGTAGCACACTTTAGAAGTTCGAACACTCTTACAGGAGTAAGAACGAAAAGTTTCTTCGGGGGCGATAAGCTTCCGCGGGAGGAATTTTCGATGACACCGCGCTCGAGTTCCGCTGAATACGTCACTGTCCAACTCGAAACTTCGATAAACCGTATGAGATCCGAAGAAAATAAGGAGGTGTATCGTATCTCCGCGCTCTACACGGGATCGGTTAGATTCCCTGGCGAAATTTATGCCTTTCGCGTCAGCCCTGAAGCGTAATAAAAGACTGGCATCAGGAATGTGGAAGAGGCAGGAAAAAATATTTCACAGTCACTACTAACACTCTTGAATATTCGTCAGAGATTCAGGATGGTTCAGAAAATATTTTTATTTTATTTAAAATATTTAGTAAATACGATCACCTCTTCTTCTGTGTTTTAGGAAGATTAATCCGTCATTAACCGCTTAACAATATGATTAACCAAGTCACTTTGTTGATACTTTATTGTATCTTTGCGTTCACCAGAGTTAGAAGAACAATGCTGGGCTTTCATAGACAACGATGAACTGTTCTCCGAAGACACAGCGTTTTTGCTGTACTTGGAGGCTAGAAGGATTAAAAACACAGCCGTAATGGAGCTGATGGTACCGAGGATCATGAAATTCTTCCTGATGCTCGTCAGCACCAAAGACTTCCTGGAGCTGGCCATCGACGAGCTGTGCCTATTGCTGAAGTCCAATTACATTTCCGTGAACAGGTATTCTTCGTGATGGCTTCTCAATGTCTACCGTGTCTCCTCGCTCATCCGCGTAACTTCCCATTAGCGAGATGGAGGTCCTGATGTCCGCGGTTCGATGGTTGATGCACGATTGGGAGAATAGAAAGCACCACCTGATGGATGTGATGAAATGCGTTCGATTCGGTCTGATCGCTCCGTGGCAGCTGGTCGACGTGAAAAGGAACCCGGAGAATCCCGAGTTTATGGAATTGATGTCCTACCCCGAGGTCCAGAAGATGGTCGACGATGGATTAGCGTAAGCTTCGGAATAAATTATATTTAATTCTAGCTGGTTAAATTACAACCATTTGCAGGTTCGTGATTATCAAATATTGGTACGGTAATCAAACTGAAGATTACTATCACTGGATCGATTTATTGGGGCTTAACGAGCCAACCAATCGAAATTGGGCTGGCGAGGATAAGGTATCGTGAACTTAAATATTCCAACAGCGTGAATTAATAATTATCTAGTATTTTAAGGAATATTTCGATTGTATTTGTTCGTTGTAGAATTACGTGACGTACCGAGAATTCTTGTTGTATCTCGAGGAATATCAAAGAACGAAGATTTCAGAGCTGAAAGCACGAAAGACTCGCGCGAAACCCACTCCACCCAGTTCACCCCCGAACGATTACTCGTTCGTGCCTCCGAGAGCGAGTAATAATTATGCCCAGAGCTCGGGTACGTTTAAATCTCGCCATCTGCGGAGTTTATACACCGACACACTTAACGAAACATAAATCTTAGAAATTTTTGTTTCATTCTTGCCTAACCCTTCCGGTACAGTGAAGGAGGTCGAACGTAAACTGTGCTAAAAATGATACAGCACACTTTTTTAGTGGAAAGAATAGAAAGAATAGTCTTTCGGAGACAAATTATATGAACAAGGCGGATGGTTCAACACTGCAACCTTTCTCTGGCCTGAAAAGACTGAACAATCCTACAAGTCTTTCTGTTAGGGGAAGGTTGTCGAATTTGAACCGTCGCCTAAAATGGACCACTACTATAATTCGTTATGTGTAAGCAATTTGCATCGTATGATAGACAATATGTGTTGCCTATATACTAATTGTAAGTTTGTTAATGCAATCACTATTACCATATACATATTGTCTGTCATAGGCGCAAATTGCTTACAAATGACAGGTTACAGTAGTGATTTAACCTAGGCGATGGTTCAAATCGAGCAATTTTCCCCTACATAACCTCAAACACACAAAAAGTATGATAACTTGTTAGATATTTCTATAGCTTATCATGGACGTAACCAGGGGACAAAGGGGACACCCGCCCCCTGGACGGAAAAAAGTGGCTTTTGCCTCACCTTAGAAGAAAAAAAAATTCAACCCCCCCGCCGTTCTGAGAGTTACAAAATTTTTGCGTAGTATTTAATATTACAGTATAATTTGAAACACGACCAACAGTCTTTATTAACAAAATACATACATTTTCAAGGATTTATAACTTTAACAACAACATATTGTGTGTTTGTCTACGTACAGCCGTTTTCACTGTGGCAGTCGATGTATTAATATTTTTGCCCCACCACCCTGACTGATAATTCATTAACAATTACAATACCATTCATCGTATTTTATTGACACGTCGTGTATAAAATGTTCAGCATCTGTAGACTTATCCACGAAACTGTAAATTTGTATAAACGTTTGTTCGTAAATTAAGATAATGAAGTATACATTTAATCCAGCCATAATAACCATAACAGGTGACAATGCCGTTCAAAACGATGCAGCGATGCACCCGATGCACTCGAAGAACCCGCCTCCGAATTACATACCATCGGAGACACCGCCAATGATGATGCCGCCGAAATTTATGAACGAGTACCTGACCAGTCTGGAACGAAGTAGAGGGGTGAGTAACCCTGGCTTAAACTGCACTCGAAGATCATCGCAAAAGCCGCAAAACAGACGGCATCATTGATCATCGACGGCCATCTTAATTTTTCTATTCACGAACGAATCAGGTTTCTCTTCCGACCGCGTAATCGCAGCCAGTGGCTCGTGAACGTTCAGACATTTGTATAACCTATTTAGCTCGTATATGTCGCATGTACCCCATTAAATACCGAGACTAAGCTCGAAAAAGTACTCGTGCACATGTGTATTATTCTTTTCGTGAAAATACAAAACGTTTCCGGGACTATCTGTGCCGTGCATTTTAAAGTAGACTGACAATTTCGAAGCGATTCAGAAAAGTATGTTTCGATGTATAACTTGCTCACCACGGATGGAATCCTAAAGGCGGACGTCACGGTGAGTCGTTTTGGGAACGAATATCCCACACGGGAGCTGGATTTCCCACGTTTCACGAAATTCCGCTTGCCTGCTTTCAGGAATTATTTCGCGGGGTTTGTCGTCAAAGAAATCTCGAGGTAAGCGGCGGCGTGCTTGTAAGTGGAAACAATAAATTTCCCCTTTACTCCCCCTAAGAAATGTCACGGAGCTGTAGTCAAAGGTCAGAGTTTACGCAGCTCGAAAACCCGTGCTTAATGACATCGAGGGGCGTTTCGTTATATGCCACCCAGAGGTTCGTTCGAACAACGCTTACAGCGTATAAGCTCTTACCTTGAGATTACACTAATCCCGTAACGATTGAATATTACCTGACTAGGTTTCCTCTTAATAAACAATTTATTAATTTATACCGTGTTTCGCACAAAAGAGACTCAATCTTTACCGAATTTTCAATGTAAGGTAAAACTAGATACAGCAAACCCTCGATTAGTGTTCGACTACTCCTCGGCACTGACAAGGAGAGATGCCTAGATGCAACGTTGACTTTTTAATGAGGTTTAGAACAATGATAGAGCTTTGAATTTTGAAGCCAACGGTATTTATCTCTGCCACATATGGTTGAGTGCACCACAAAACATTAGTTTATGATATAGTTAATGTGCACTGCCGTGGATCCTTCGAACACTCATCGAGGATTTACTGTAACACGCCCTGCTGGCAAAATGCCTCACTATTCCTTCATTGATATTCAAAGTTTTTGTATATTTTGTGGAAAGTAATTACCACTTTACGCGTCGTCTTCACTCATCTATCCTCATTTGTGTATACGTAAAACAATAATTAAACGTTTTGTCAATCGTGGCGTATTACCCAGTTTTACCCTATTCATTCTCACTCGAGTCACTCGAACACGTTGAACAGACGTACGAATGAATAACGAAAAATTCGGTCGCGGTGAACGTCGTCCAGTACACGCATCGATATGAATTATTGCGCAGAACGAGGAGAGGGCTACGAGCACGGCCGCCTTTGACGCCAGATTCACCGGCGGTGGAGAATCGGCCAAAGCTCCTCATAAATCATCGGCCATCGAGAAACACGCGCTGGAACACGCTCGACGCTCCGCGAATTTGCCGGTAATACAACCTGATAGGGAAGAAAGAGAGAGATAGAGAGGGAGACGAAACGAAGAAAAAAAAAAAAAGAATAAAAGATATTTCGGTGAGAAAGTTTGTTCCCCGTAGTCCGCGAGATCTTCTCTTTTTCCAGGACGTCGGTAAATTGGATTACGAGGGTCGGCAAGAGAAGAACACACCGGATGTTTGCCGGTGCCAGCAGCGCGAGTTGAATCTGATATTTTCCGCGAGAATGCAACGGACGCGATGTAAGATGCCGAGGGACCAGGAAGAACGCACGGATTCCGGTAAATCCGAGGAGGAGGCGGCCACCACAATACAGGCCGTCTATAGAGGATATAAGGCTAGAAGGAGATTTCACGAAGTTAGTGGACGCGCTGTGTGAAAGTTTCGGTTTCGATTCGATATGCGTATTCCCGAACCGAAATAATATTCGGGGCTGAAATTTATTGGGAACGGTGAAAGATATTTTTCTTTTTGGGCGTTTGCATGAGGGAACGTTGTCCATGGTTCAGAACTTTGTTAAATATATACATGAAGTTGGAAATGTTAATTGAAAAGTAATTAATTTTGGGAACTCTCACGTTGAACGTTAACTGTAAATTTGTAAAATGTTGTACAACAGATACTTGACACAAATTTTTATAAAGACTATTTCATCGTGAATAATCAGGAGAATTTTGAAAGGACTGATTCGTTGTTTCTCTAAACGACAGATAAGAAAATCAACGTCGGAGGAGAAACGGAATATCAAGAAGGTGGCGGAACTTTTAGCTATTCCAGTGGGCGAAGATTCTCGCAAGTTCGTGGCGGAGCCAATCAGAATTTCAAATAGTTCAACAAACCAAGTCAGAAACGAGAAGGAGGGAACATTGTGGTCGCTAAGCTCGAGAACTAAGAAGAGGGAACAGAGCCGAGGACGAAATCAACGCTCCACGGAGAGCCAATTGGACCAAGTACAAAATCTTCCATCTTAAATGAAAGTTTTCGTAAATTATACATGTATCTTAAATCATAGTATGACACGCGCGTGCCTTCTTACGTATCCGGAGACCAAAGGACACAACTTACGCCGCGAAGCGAGTCGCATCCTCAAACCGCAACGAAGACTATCAGAACCATAAAATCTCCGATGTTTCTACCGAATTACGAGAGAACCACTTCTCCCTCGGACAATACCGAAACGGAGGAACCGTTGTCTCCGCAAACTGACGGGAAATCAGTTACGACAGATTTCGATGACAATGTTACGAACAATGAGAAAATCGAGGGAGCAAAAACGAATTGCCAGGACGGTGATAATGCTCAGCGAGTGAAGACCGTCACAAAAAGCGTTCAAATACGAACTTCGTGTTATCCACGACCACCGTAAGTACATTCGATTTTTTAATTATTATGAAATATGAACGAACCCGAATTTGGTAAGATTTTTATGAAGTAAAGAAACTGTTGACAGACCACAAAGGATCAGCAACAGTATGTTGGGTTCCAACGTCGATAGTTATTTCTTCGACAACTCCCTGTACTTTCGCGATCGGGAGTCGATCCTCGTATTCGGCGGCGTCGATCCCCACGAAGAGTACGGCCGTGCCGGGAACAACGGAAAAGCTATCTACAGATTCAAGCCCGAGGAGAACATTTGGGAATGCGTTGGAGAAATTCCACAGCCGCGACATCATCACTCGGTCGCTTACTTAAGAGGCCGTATCTATGTAGTGGGTGAGTCAAGCGATGACGAAATCGAATATCGCGCAGTGTGATCGTCGACATTAATACCTGTCTGATCTGAAACTGTTAAAGAACTGTGTTGTATCTTGTAATACGAACCGACAGCAACGTTCTGCTTAATGGTAGCTAACAAAGACGTACAGCGTAGATGTTCTAATTATCAGGAGTTAACTATTCACATAAAATTCTCTACATTTTTGTTGTATATAACGGAACAAAAATGCTTCACGTTATAATAAAAAAAAAGTGTAAAAAAGAGATTTGAATATTGTTAGGAGGCGCAGATCCTTTGGAAGACAAACTGCACAGACAGAGCACCGCGGTTGGAAGTGTCTGGAGCTACGACCCGACCACCAGGACTTGGTTCAATGAACCTGGCATGCTGACAGCCAGAAAGGACTTCGGATTGGTGGTCAGTCACGGGAAAATGTACGCCATAGGAGGGCAAGGCAAGAACGGGATGTGAGTTGTTATAGTGTCCGTAATTGCGTTCGCCTACCTGCACGTTTTCTTTCATTTTCCTCGTTAATTACTGTTTCTTTCACGCGGGCCACCGGCTAATTACGTCCAATTCTCCCTTTTTAATTATCGTTAACGTGACCGCCGCTGGTTTAAACCGAAAATGATTAAATTAATGTCAATTACGAGATGTAATTTTTGTCACGGATAGCGGGACTCGATAGCACGCCAAGCGGAACAGCTTTGTTTTCTCCGTTCCAGAACTCTGAAGACGGTGGAGGCTTTCGATCCGTCCGACTTCACGTGGAGAGAGATGCAACCGATGCAAACGGCGAGGGTGGGACCTGCCAGCGTGAAATATCGGGATCTTATCTGGGTCGCTGGCGGGATGACAAAATCGAAGAAAGAGCTGTTCTCGAAGGACGTCGAGTGCTACGACCCGATCAAAAATTTGTTAGCTCCGATACTCTGTCGCGTATCCCTTTACAGCCTTCGGGTCCCATTACCTAGATTAAACGCTTGATTTATTCGCGTCCACGGGATAAACTCGGGAGCTGCTGTTATCGACGCTGTTTCAGATGGCTGAAAGCGGTGTCTTTGAGGTTGCCGCGGTGCTTCGCCTCGTTTTACGTCGTATCCGACTGTCTTTATGTGATCGGCGGTGCATCGGCCATTGAGAACGCTACCCAAAGTATCGAGAGCATCGACGTGTGGGACGGGAACGATTGCGTATGGAAGGAAAAGGCGAAAATGTCGATCGCTAGACACGGGCATACTACTGGCTCGATAGGTTCGTTTTCCATTGAGAATTTAACTGAACTAGTAACGTTTCTAGTAAGCATTCAATAACAAATTTCATCTCTTAGGCGAGCAATTATTAATAATTGGCGGCGTAACCACGGTGTTCATGAAAACGCTTAACAGCGTGGAGTGTTACTGCTGCGACATCGGGAAGTGGATGAAGGGCGTTTCTGCCCTACCGCAGCCCGTTTCCGGTCACGGAACCGTGTCCCTACCTCCGGCAAATCTCTTGATAAATCGCTGATAATTACGGAAAAAAACGTTCCTCTTTTACGTTTAATGATACATTAAACATTTATTTTCTGTTATTTATATTTGAGTCCTTTTTTTGTAATTATAAAATACAATTCATGTTTCTATACGAATTATAAACAATTTTATATTGATTTTCTAGTCGAACTTTTTATACAAATAAAATTCAAATTGCGAAAGTCGCTATGATTTTTTACATAGATACCAATTATAAAAAATAAAATCGATTGACTCAATAAATAATTACATCTACCAGTACTGGAAACAGCGTTACACTAAAATGGTACATGAGATTGTTTGAAACTACAATTTTATAGTGAACAAGATTTGAGCCCGCGAAAATCGAACCCATTACATATTTAGTGAGACATTGAAAATAGAAGACTAGAAATTTTTGATACTTAGAAATTTTTGATAAGTATTACCACAAACGAGATAATCGATAGTAATACCCAACCGCAATTAGGTATCGTGACTACGTTTCCAAACATTTCCATAAGTATTAATGCTCAATTTTCTCTGTTACAGTCATGATAGTTTTTACTAAATATTTAAAAAATTCAATACCAGGTGCTACATTAAAAACAATGGTCTTTGGTTTCTTTTTTATAATAAATCGTTTCCAAAGGACTTGAATCATTAAGATAGATGAATCATCGGGCACTTCGATGACTATCAGGAATCGCTTGTAAAAATCAAAGATTAAACTGGTATCCTGATTGGCAAGCTTTCGGGATTCTTCGTCAGGTGGCGGGAGCGGTCTCGACATCCGGGCGCCGCCATCTGTCATGGGAGTCGCGCGTTATGAACCGCGAAGCGTGCGTGGAAGTTTCGAAAAAGGGATTCGGATTCGAATGCGGCGGGGAAACTATATAGCCGCCGTGTGGATAAACGCGAGTTAACCTGAAAATGGCCGAATCGTGCGAGTCGGTGGTATCAAGTGCAGTGACCAGTGTTGTGCCTCACGGACATACGAAAGTGGCCGAAACGCCGTGCCAGGAGAACACGGATACACCCGGATCCCCCGGTACGTAGGCCCCCCTAAAATATCCCGTAGCTGTTTCAAACCAGTTTATTCAAACGCGAGTGACCGAGCGCGGCCATGCAACAAGTGGCACGAAGCGCTCTTGCATGCTGAACAGGAGCGTATCGCAGCATTCCACGAGCCCCCCACGATTTTATTTTGTCCCCCCTCGGTATTGTCTAACATGTCGTCGTCGATCACGTGACAGGTCGATCCATCTGCGCGACTTAATTGCCGTGTATGTAAATTTCAACTGATCGTGACAGTTGTATCGAGTAGAAATATTTTTGTAGCTAGAAAAGTTGAATCAAATCACGAATTCAAGAGTTTGTAGTGACATACTTTATACAATGATGATTTTACTTGGCGTAACATTTAATATCCTTCGGTCCTTTTAAATCTTTCTTCGTGAACATTTATCACCAGATACATCCTCTGCTTCATGTATACTCTTTTATCGTGTTCGTTTATTTAGATTCTGCGTCAATGTGACGTTGGTGAAAATCTTGTTCTACCTGTTAAGTGGTTTTACGCGAGTCGTTACGGTTGATGAATCCGATATTACGTTCCTGGCGGGAGGATTATTGCTAGGCAGGTGGATAAGGGATCGGGAAACAACTTTCTGAATCGGAGTAATTATACGTATATTGGAACGGATTATACATGCATCCCAGTATAACTTTGTTTCGTGTATATTGTGCCTTATTTTAGCTTCCCCGTCCTGCGAGAACGATGATTGCGTGTGATTAATTTTGCTCGCCGTTACTGATGAACACATCGGGACATTCGTGAGAAGGAAACGCGTGACAAGTTCCTATACCGGTTTTATTTTATTTATTTTATGTTCGTTTCACTCGCCGTTGCCACGGATTTTTTAATTTTCGTGGTGGCGCTGTGAAACGTGAAAGTGTTGAAACGTTATTTACTGGCTTTTTACAGCGAGTCTTTATATTTATCTGATTAGAATTTTCCAAGAAAGTCGGGAAAGTGCTTTTAAAAATGCAGCAACAAACTGTTTGTCGTTGATTTAACGATTGCGGAAGCATTACGGATAAGTTCGGCTATCGATGAAAAATTACACAATGATAAGTTTTATCTGCGATAAGTTTAAAAACACGCTCGGTACGCGAGATCGCAGGCGTATTATCTCTTTGAATTATTCGATCCTTGATTCCTGTTAAAAAGTGAGGAAGTATTCATCACCGCTTTACAGCTGTGGTAACTTGTTCCAATTTGTGCACCGGTACAATGCAGCTCACTTCAGATTTCAATTTTGTCTTAAAATTCATCGATATTATTAGAAATCTAATTAAAGAACATGAAATATTTTTAGAAATATTATGTATATGTGTATTCGTCAATCGTGTAAAATTGATTTAATTATTGCCGATAACCGCTCTCACTTTTTCGTCCACACTTGTTTCTTTCAATGTAGTTCTCCCGCTTCTCTAGAGAGGCCGCCATGGTATGTAAACAAAACTGGTTTCGTGAAATTCTTGATAAAGTGTTAAAAAAGAGTAGTGTTATGACTACGAGAGAGTATGATTATTACCAGTATAGCTATTTATACTGTCAGACCATATTTAGGAGTATTCTCGTGAATTCATTTAACAAATAAGTCCACATTAAGAAATATGTATGCTAGTCCATGCATGTCACAACTGTCGTTAAGCAACTACGACCTCTCGGGATATGATCAAGAAGCTCATACTCATGAATGCCTCAGGTATTCGTGGGAGAGGTTGTATGGATTGCAGCGTCACACGTTTCGGAGGTTAAGTTTGTTGTCGAAATGTCAACAGTTACGTTGGAGCCTATTTTGGCGGAGGACAGCACGATTACAAAGTTAGTGCCCTCGTTAGAGGGAATATTGAAAGACTTAGAAGACAGTGCCAAGCATCACGATTATCTTGTTGCTTTGCTAATAGTATTTTTGGCGGAGTCCGGTTTTCAGGTGTCAACAGACGAACGTAGTTCACAACGGTAGGCGAAAATGTTCAACAACGTTTCTTGCTATTTGTGGCATTATTCAATTTTGATGTATTATGTCATATTCATTACAGTCAGAGTCTGAGATCCTTGCACATACCCGATAATTGGAAGTCAGAGGAAACAGGGGTCTATGACGTAAATGTTGAACTAACTAATGTTCCTGACGTAAAATGCAAGCTGATTGCTATTCCACTGGGAGATACATTGATTCTTAACTTTTTCCCTTTAGTGGACAATAGAAACATTTATTGCATTAGTGTACAAACCCTGAAGTATGTTAATCCTTTTTCTAGTGACCTTTGCGGAAAATATAGAAACCTGAAAGAAATATCTCACAGGTATAATAAGTTTAAAAGGATGTCTAGGTATTTAGAATGATAATATAGTTTACCACAAACTTATTTAATAGGTTCAAAGACTCTATAGCTACTCCAGTGCGCTTAGATGTATCAATCAGAGCAGGATTGATGTGTCCCGGCCTACAGGGTCTACCAGTTGAATTAAAGTTGAAAATATTGAGTATCTTAGACGTTTATGAACGAAAACAAATGGCTCAGTGTTCATCAGAATTTAATCGGCTCTGTTCAGACCCGCAGTTTAGGAAACGTCCTTTACGCAAGGACCTTTTAAGCCAATCATACGAACTGATTTCAAAATGTCAAAGCAGACACTATACAGAAACCGACATAGCAGACATTTGTGCACATAATATAATATAATAAAATTACAGTAATTATTATTTCGTGTCTAATGTATCTTGATTAATTTAATTTGTGACTATTATTAATCAGTGAAACAAAGTTATAAGTGACTTGATTATTTGTGGGTATAACAAATTGAGGAATTTTTTTTCTCTAAGGAATCATGTTGATTTGCCAAGTGGAAACATTGTCTTAAAATAAGATTAAAAATATTTCATAACATAAATAGTATATAACGTTTAAGCGATATCTTCGTCGTCTTTTTTGTCTTTATTTACATCTGAGAAGATTACAGTAGACTCTGTACAAAATAAATGTATCATAATGTATAAATATTATAAACTCGTTTTCTAAAAGCGGAAGAATGTTATTGAAAATGAATCTACCTATTCCAGATTCCTATTCCAGTTTTCAGTATTGCGAATATCTCTGTTCCACAAATTACGTGAGATTGTACTCTTAACTGTACATAATTTCATTGATTACCTACTTTGACGAACCTTATAACGGAGAAAGTGCAAAAAAAGAATCTAATTAGAAATCATTTCGAACACTAGTCAGAGTATCGAACCGTTTGAGTAATATCGCAACATTTGGTACCAGTTCAATCAGTAGTTATTATTATATTTAGTAAACAAGATCTAGCGAAATCGTAGACTGTATGTTAAAATCTGATATTTAGAACGAAATTAATTAAAATCAAAGTTGAGATGTGTGATGTGAGATAACTGAGTAATACGTATCAAAAACGTAATCGAAACACAGATTTTTATTACACCACAAACATTGCATAAAAGATATTTCGTTATATTGACATTTGTAATAATTATGGATGTTGCAGGGAAATCAATATTATTGACATTATGGAACATAACGAAATGTCACTGTAACACTTAAAAAAGTTTTAAAGTTCCATTTATATCGTTATCCTGTGAAAATGTTCATACTGCCAGCAGCATTCATATTCCAATCAAAGAATTTACAGAATAAGGAAAAGGAATCTAAAGTAATTGTCAGTAGTTCCATACATCTTTATCTAGAATAATTTTCTAAAACATTCAAAGTACTAGACATTTTTACACTTTGAATCTCATATCGATTTCTAAAATAATCCTAGTTCGATGTAATATAGAACGTGGTTTTATGAGATTCGAAGTTCGCAGCCATTTGCTCGATATTGTCTTCAGTTTATAGTACTTTACAGATGACAATACCGATTGCCCAGGCCTCACCACGAGGAGGTTGCTGCGAGTGGAGGCCCAAGGCAAGTAGATGGAATCACAAGTTCTACATCTACCCACCTTTCACAATAAACCTTATAAATTACTTAAATCTTAACTATATAATACTACCGATACTAAAATCCCTCGGCGGATGACTTCTTTCTTGAGCCTAAACCTATAAAAAACTAAGTTCCCTCGTCGGTTGTCTTCGTTCTTCAGCTTAGAACTAATATTATCTTAATATTCTAATTAATACGAATTAATGCTAGTAATACGAAATAACAAATTTAACGCAATGTAGTCGCTAATACTCAAACGAAAGAGATAGACGGAATGGAAAAAGTTCCATCGATCATTTCGTTTACGCACCTAATATACCAAGCCAAAAATTAATTCTACGATGAACCACGTTAAACTACAGTATGAACAAGTATCGCGATGAAAGTGTTGTCGCCAGAACCTGGTTTAAGAAAATAGGAAAGACGGGCGCAACCTCGCAAACCCGAATCCATCTCTCACTTTCCAGGCCCTTTGGGCTGGTCACCTACGTACCAGACCCGAGCACAGGTCATGACCAAGTATGGTAGTGCAAGCGAGATCCCCTGTAAAACAGAGTCCTTTTACGGAGCAGACTCCCGACTACTCCGTAGGCGGGTACGTTGTACCCAGGCGCGCACGAGCCTTTACTCCAAATCCTACTTACCAGGCAAAGACTAAACACGTCCGATATCTGGCTTCTCAATAGAAACCAGAGGGATCGGCAAACAGTCTTAGTGCACAGGCCCACTGCCCGTACCATAATAGGTACAGACCCACTGCCCATACCCCAAGTCTGTGTAGAGAAATCAACGAGCAAAATGAATTAATAATAACTTGGTATGCACAATGGCTGATCACAATTTAAGTCTATTAATAGATAGACTAAAATTAATAATAAACGATGTGATGATGAATATGAATATAACAATGAATATCGAATTATGATTTAAGTTTAACTTACAGTAACTTAACGCAGTGGTAGACGCACGCTTTGAAGATGTAGACGTTGATCGATGTCTTCTTTCGATGGAATAACTGTTTGGAAAAATATTTTTCATTATACAATACACATAGAATACATAATATGCACAGTAAATAAATCACAGTAAATAAATAAATAAATATCGAAGCCAATGGTTCTCGAACATCTGTAACATACAAGGAATTAGTAACAAGAGAGGGGACACAACAATATGCACAGTATATAGATTAGTAACATGCACAGTAAATAAATAAATAATATGCACAGTAAATAAATCACATTAAATGAATCACAGTACATAAGAAGATAAATATCGAAGCCAATGGTTCTCGAACATCTGTAACATATAAGGGATTAGTAACAAGAGAGGGGACACAACAATATGCACAGTAAATAAATTGATGGTTGTCGAATGCCTGCAACAAACAATGGGTTAGTAACAAGAGAAAGGACGAGTATGAGACGCGCGACCACCCTCCGCGACGGTTCACGACAAAGTGAGGAAGCAAGCACAGACCTGCACGGGATGGTACGACCTTGGTACACGGCGTACACGGCTAAGTCAATAAACTGGGTGACGCAACTCACTAGCGCGTTGGATTGACGGAGAGCACCGATACTCGTCACGCTCTACCGTACTCTCTCGCTCGCATACCTCCCCCCATAGACCCCCGAAATTTCTCGGCACGCGTCAACACCGACGGAGAGCACCGATACCGCGGCTCGCTCTACCGCTCTCGCTCTCTCCAGTTCGCCCGCTTCGACTATCTTCGGCATCTGTTACAAATGTACAAATGTAAGGCACTATATAAAAACGAATAAAACAAGAACATGTAAAAAGTAACATTAATAAAATGTCTATTAACGATGCATTTAGAATAAATTGTCTTGTAGTTAAGTGAAAAAATATATACTTTTCCGTTTCATGTTTCATGACTGTCATATTTATCCCTTAATCTTAAACTGAAGCATCGGATATTTTTATTCCCGTCAAATCATACAGATACACGCAATATGAATGGAATATATAACACTTCATTTGTGCTAATAATACTCAGATTTCATGCTTCATCGGTAACGTCAGAAATTGACACTAAAATTGTAAGAGGGCTTCTGACACCCTTGAAGCATGGGACAGAAAATTACATTGCATGTTAGGTCTATTCTTATATCTCGTCTGTGGTAACATCTAACGAGGAAATACATTTCGTAGCATCAGATGAACTCATAATAGTTGGGAATTTCCTTTCTAGCTGATGATAACACGAAGACGTCGCTGGCCGGAGAAAAGGCAGAGACCGAGGAGACCAACACGCAGAGCAACGGTGATACCGGTGAGTGATAATCGAGAATATCAAAGACAACTTTGCCGCGTTTCACTTCTGGCGCGCACGTTAGATGGAGGCACGCCAGGTGCTTGGTTTATCGATTTCATGTGCGGTGCAACAGAAATGAAAGCCTGTACTGATGCAACGGCCTCCATTGGAGACAGACAGTTCTGCTCGTGACAATTATTATGATGTAGGAACACAATGCTTATATTTTATGGACCTTGCAATTGCATCCTAAGAACAGCCTTGGTCCTAACAATTATTTGGTCCTAGGAGGACAGTTCTTGCGTTTCCATGAAACTATTATAGTATGGAAATATACAATGAACAACGATAGTATGTATTCTAAATATACGATAGTCAAAGATTCCTTATACGAAAAGATATGCTTATGCTATGCTAGACTGAAAAAAGTTATTAGACATTTTAGTGAGTATGCATTATGTATATTCGAATATGATAGGAACTGAAACATTATGCGCATAAATTATAAACTTTATCATAATAATGTAAATGTAGGATCCTGTCGCTCGTATACTTGTATTACACACTGTATGTGTTTCAGCCACATTTTGTACAGAATCGCAATTTCTTTGTGATTTTCACCTCGTTCCCTGAGATTAACCCTTTCACTACGAAAGGCGTATACGCCCTCACATGTCTATCAATATGTACGAAAGGCATATATACGCCCTCTTAATTTTTCTTACTATAACACATTTACTGTTTTGTTAAACTGATCTAACATAGAATTTAAATTTTTTATTCGTATATTTTTTGTCAGCGACTGACATGCGCATATCGCGCCGCAGTTAAAAGGTTAAAGAAGCTGAAAGTACATTGGTGAACGATCAAGAGAATAATCAGGATGTACAATAAATGTTTATTTTAATAGAGCTATTGTTTATATATTTTTAATTAATTATAAGACGTTCTCTCGTCTGTAACATACAGTAAGTGATCAAATTATTAGTGTCACTTATATAAATTGACGATTTTGCGGTTGTAACCGTAAGTTTTTATATTTCATATAAGCTAAGTTTCATTTTTTCGTATATCTTTGGTGGATAATTGTTGATTCAAAATTATTCAATGTAACAAACTCGATATTATGATTTTATTTCTACACAAACATAAAAAACGTTTTTCGTACTGTGACTAATAATTCGATCACCCACTGTAGTGCAAGGAAACGAAAGACCTGTACAACATAAAATAAAATTTCTCGGCCATTGTCGTTTAATAGCAAGAATCTTGAAGGTTCAGGCGTTAATTGAGAACACCATCAATATGTAGTGGACGCGAACCATGAATTTCTCATTACGCGACGCGGATGAATAATTAATTTCGATGTTTAATGCGCGCTCGTTGCACCCGAGCGACTTTATCAATATTGAAATTCCGGGCATCGGCAAATACGCTTTAAAAGATCGCAGAACGGCA